GCACTTTGCATATCTCATTTCTAAGAATCAAGGCATCAGTGTCTGCAACACTCACAATATATAAAAAAAAGGCTCACAAATAAATCCATCACAATCAACAACTCTTATGATAATAATCATTTGTTCTTTACAGGATTCATCAAGTGATTCATCAACAAGAATACAAAATTTGTTCTTCCCAAGTTCTCTACAAATTGTCTTCCTCACCTTGATAGCAAAAATATGCAAGATTTGTTTTTACATATCATTGGAAATGTATTGAGCATTTTGAAGAGCCTCATCTAGGACAACTTTCTCAACTTCTATATTCATTCTTGCAAAGGACTTACTATTTCAATGAAATTGCCCCAATTAGATAAGTCCTCGGATTCATCGTTGCCTCGAAAAGCTAATGCTTGATTTGCTAGATACCTAATGCCCTCTATTGTGGTTGTAAGTCGCAATCGATTATCCATCACTTGTTGCTTTGATTGCTTATCTACCACTTTTTCAATATGAAGAGATGGTTTTTTTTCAAAAGTTAATCCACTTTTGCATAGCAAGATGATGTGATGAATTTAGATTGCCTACATGATGGTGAAATGCACATTGATTCCCACCAATTCTCTTCCATTTTTTATACCCATCAATAATAAAGGTTGGGTGTGACTGATTCATGTAAAAAAGGAAGCAAGGAAAACAAAATACCTTATTGTTTGCAACTGAATACTCAAGCCAAGTGAATTGGCCAAATCACTTTTTATTAAATCGACGAAAGTCCCGTCCTTCTAAGTGGCTTGGATAATTTTCTAACTCGGGCTGACATGGTTCTAAAGGAATATATGCTCTTCGCACATTATCTTGTTCATTCACCGGATATTTGCATATTAGACAACGTAATCCTGGATCACACTCAAGATAATTGATGTTAAAATCATTATCATCATCGACTCTTTAAGATTCAACTATTTCAACTGGAGGCTTGACAATGGGAGACTCGGGAAGATTTTGCTTATCACATATTGGAGTAGATAAAGAAATGCTAGAAGGCAATGTACTAGATGATGACCCATCATTCTTTTTTTTTAAAAAAAAAAAAAAGACAACAAATTCTTTGTTCTCTTGGGATTCCGATTGTGATCCGACATAATAAAAGATAGCCTATGAATAATATGTTGAATTTTTTTTTCATCAAACATACCAACAAAAAATACAAATTCTCATAATAGCATCTCAACAATACCAAACCAAACATTATAATTCATCCCCAATGAAACCCTAGAATACTCAATTTTAACAAAATCCCAAATCAAAGCGATAGAATAATTCATCCCTAATCAAAGTCCTAATTAATTTTAACAAAATCTCAAAATTATAATTCATCCCTAATTAAACCTTAGAATACTCAATTTTAAATTACAATTATAATTAAAGATATATAGAAAAGGACAGAATGAGAATAATAATGGTTAACAAAAGGAGAAGAAAAGATGTTGTTGCCAAGTTGCCAACCCAAGATAATAGAAGATGTAACCAATAGAAGAAGAATTTGACCCAAAAAATAAAAGGGAGCAACAAGTTGCTGCTGTCGGGTAGCAAAGAGAGAGAAAAAAGAAGTCTCATAGCCAAAAGAGAATGAGAGAGAATATATGGGACCACCTGGATGGGCAACATGTGGCAACATGTGTGTAGGGTTTGCTTTTAACACATGTAGGTATTTGTTTTTTTGAAAAAAATTGGGCTAGATAGGCACCCAGCCTGCCCCGTGCACAACACAGCCCATGCTTCAATCCTCACATTCAACCCAAAATTCCCTCATTCTAGACCTAAATTGAAACATTTTTACTCCAAATCAAATGGACAGACCCTAAATCACTAGCTTTTCAAACAATAATTCAAAACAAAAGACAAAACCCTTTAGATCAAGCTCTCTGACATCTTTTTGTCCATCCAAGCCCACGACGACAACTCTGTCGTCGACAGCATTGAGGGGTTGGTGTACACCGAGACAGCGGACGGGACGGTCAAAGTGTGGAAGAGAGAGCAAACACTGCTGAAGATGGGTTTGGGTGGTTATGGATGATGGTGTGGTGGTTGGTTGCAAATAGAGGAGGAAGGATGATGCCATTCTTTGGGGATAAGGATTGATCTTTTATTTTTCTTTTTTATGTTTGGGAAATTGGAAGGAAGAAGCATGGAGGAGTTGACAGGGGCTGGGGAAGCCGCTTGGGCTGGTGTGCTAATGAGAGTTGGATTTGGGTAGCGTTTATTTATTTATTTATATTTTATTTTATTCTAAGAGCATAGAGAAGAAAGATTTTTATTTTATTATTTTAATTAATTATATATATATTTTTAAGGCTTAAATATCAAAATGATCCTTGTGTTTTATTCTATCGGCCAATTTAGTCCTCGTGTTACCAATTTGCCCAATTTAATCCTTGTGTTTGTATCCATTAGCCAATGTGATCCTTCCATCCAAACTACGTTAAATTGAAAAAAACAATTCAAATCAATTAAAAAAATTGTAATGATTACATATATTCATATTCAAATAATAAAGAACTTAAATAAACCCTAACCTCTCCTCTTCCAACGTTTTTGAGTACTGTAGCAAAAAAGAAAAAAAAAAAGAAAAAAAAAGAAGAAGTTCTTTAGTTTATTGAATGCCTACTATTTTCTTGCTCTTCTGCCTTGGATTTTTTCGTACTCCCACCATCATCTCTCTCCGCTCAAATTCATTGACTGCCAAAAAACACTTAGGACACCCTCAAGTGATCCCTATCGCTCAATGACTACATCCACTAGCGGACCCAGAAATTTTTTAGCGGAGGTGCAATATTGACTAAGTATGAAAAATGGTTTTTCGGAATAATCATTTTCTCAAGATAATTTTTGGCGGCTTTTGTTCCTTACACATCAAATAAGAAAACTTGATTTTATGGGATCTTAGTATGAAGTATATATTGACTTAATGAGCCATCATTTTTAGCCTAAATCGTATTTTGCACTAAAACCGAATTTTCATATTTTGATTTGGTGGGAATTTGATTTTCTAATATTTTTATTTGAATCCAAATGGGGGGTACTTCCTTATTTACATTGTAAACTTAAGTAAATGGAGTAATATAAAAATAAATAAAAGTAAAAGGACAAAGACATTTACTTAAATGTTGAAGATGGAAATAAGGTAATCTGTACACTAGTAGCAAAGGGGCAATTTTAAGCACCTACAATGGTTTTTCCGGCGAGGGGAGGTGCAGCTGCACCTCCTTGCGCCTTAGTAGGTCCGCCTCTGACTACATCAGCATTATCTTCTTCCTTCTCAACCAATCACCATGCCCACCACAAGAAGACCACCTCCGGGATCCACCAGCTCACTCTAGCGTCTATTGTCGACTTGGATTGACCAATGCCTAGACGAAGCAAAGTGCAAGTGGTGTTGGGACAATCGAGTTCGAAGGTGGTCTAGGTGTGAACGACGACTACGGAATTTGCACTGTACGTGGTGTTGATGTGAATGTCCTAGATTTTTGCTGCAGAGAGAGTGGTTGCGGTTTAGGTGGAGTTGGGGTGGAGTGGTGATAGTGAGGGTGGCTCTGGATTTGGGAGAAGGTTGTAGTCTGAGCGTGAAATAGGGGAGAATAATTTTTTTAAATTTTTAATTAATAGATTTAACAGAATTTGAACGGAAGGACCACATTGACTAACGGAAACAAACATAAGGATCAAATTAGCCAAATTGATAACACGGGGACTAAATTGGCCGATAGGGTAAAACACAAAGACCATTTTAACATTTAAGCCTTTTTTTAAATTAAACAAGTAATTACATTATTTTATATTTAATTCAATTTAACAAAAAAAAGTGGGCCCTTCACATGACACATCATCACTTGTGGTAAAAAGACTAAAATAACCATTGCCACGTTATCAAAATTGACAGAGTTATTAATTGAGATAATGGTAAGGGGTAACACAAAATCACGATCAATGGGGGTTAAGTGAGTCACTTTAAATTTAAAGGATTAAAGTGAAATTTGACCGAAATTTCAGGGGGCACAAAGAGGGTGATGATTGTAGCGGTGGTGTTAGGCCATCTCCAGCTATCCCAAATATAACCCTAAAATAATGCAAAATCCATATCCAGCCATGGGCTAAACAAAATTTTGGCCAAATTTGGCTTTAGCCCCACACCCGGGCTACATGTAGCTTTGGCCTAGGCCAAATTTTTTGTGGGCCCCACGCATGTGCTTTTCAACATCCAACATTAAAACATGCTGACGTCATTGATGCCGTCAGCTCTGGATATATATATATATATATTTAAAAGCCTTTTTAAATATTTCAAATCGTGTTGTTTAAGAAAAAAAGTATAAAAAATTATTGGTCATGACCGTTGGAGCTCAGACCATTGAAACCATCCTTTTTATTTTTTTATTTTATTTTATTTATAATTATTTTATAAATGTGGTCACCTTTTTAAATGTTTTCAATTCGTGTTTTTTAAGAAAAAATTATAAAAAATTATTGGTCATGACTGTTGGAGGTTAGACCATTGAAACCCATCCTTTTTTTTATTTATAAAATGTGGTCACCTTTTTAAATGTTTTCAAGTGTTGTTTAAAAAAAATTATAAAAATCTTCTTATCAACGTATGCATGTCATATATGGAATATTGTCTCTAAATAGTAGTTTAATTAAATTAAACAATATATAGTTGTGGAATGTATGAGTGTTGTACCATAGTTTTTCTCAAAATAATAAAATATGAAGGACCATAAAATATAGCCCTGCATGGCTGGAGATGGAAAAATTTAGTCTTGCACTATTCTTTAAAAAATTAATATTTTGGAGGGCTAAATTTTTAGCCATGAACTACATTTAGCCCTATAACTGAAGATGGCCTTAGATGGTAGTGTTTGTCTCTTATTTCCCATAACCCAAAAGAAAAAAAAAAGTAGCCACGTATACAAATTCACATCCTCCTCCATCAAATTGAAAACTATAATCTAATAGGCTAAATGTTACAAGGCCCAAGAAAAGGGCCCTAAGTTTCAGTTAACGGGCTCATTTCTCTTCTTCCCTTTTTGATATTGGGCTTCGGTCTTCATCACTGGTTGTCAAGTTCGCGCCAGAGTCGGGCCAAGCCATAAAGTTCACGTTGATCCATCCATCGCATTAGCATCACAATACGACGTCGCTTTCAGCTGCTTTGTATTTCGCAGTTAGTTAGCAGCATACTGCGAGCTGGATAATTCGCAAAGGACAATACATCACCAGGTAAGGAGGGAAGTATTGGGAAATGAATGACTATACAGTTCCTTCCACTCCCATCTGTTAACAGAAATGAGTCCCAAACTCCATAATCCCTCTCCCCCTCTTCTAACTGAACCAAATTTCAATTAGATTACCCACGCCAAAAGCCAAACCCATCCTTCACAGAACCAAATTAATCTCCGTAACCAAACACCACCTCCTCCATGCCGATTGCCTCCATTTCCATCCTCCGCCACCGCACCATCATCCCCACCACCGCCGCCACAACTCTCCCAACCGTCGCCAAGCTCATCCGCCAAATCTCAACCCTCCGATGCTTCTCCGTCGCCGCAGCCAAACAGCAGCACAACCCTAACGTCTCCAGGAAATCCCAGCCCCCTAGCAAGAAGCTTCTCAGAGCCAAACAGACCGTCAAGGACTACTCATCCCTCGCCCCGGTTCTCTCTCCTGAGGACAAGCCGCCTCTCTCCGAATCCAAAAGCGTCGGCACCGTCGCCGCCGCCCAAGCCAACTTCATGCGCGTCATAGTGGAACCTCCTAGAAGCTTCGACGAGAGCAAAGTGGAGTTGCTGTGTGTTGTGAAGGCGGTGCTGAAGAAGATCAAGAGGAGAGTGTTAGTTGGGGACAAGGTGCTGGTGGGGTCCATTGATTGGGTGGACCGCCGGGGCATGATCGAGAATGTGTACCAGCGGTGCTCCGAGATTCTTGACCCGCCCGTCGCCAATGTGGACCATCTTCTCGTGCTCTTCTCCATGGACCAGCCCAAGCTCGAGCCGTTCGCGCTCACTAGGTTCTTGATCGAGGCCGAGTCCACTGGAATTCCGCTCACACTCGCTTTGAACAAGTGCGAGCTGGTTGACGAAGAGGTTCGAATCCGATTCTTCTCTAAGTTCTGTTAATGGTGGTGATTAGTTTGGCTTCTTAATTTGCTCTAATTTAATCATCCCTAGTGTTTAATTGGCTGAGCGTCTGAGCCTCTGAGGCAAGATTCATAGTTTCATATGTATCTATACACAATGTTTGGTTAAAGCTGTTTAGTAAGAGGCCTCTAAGAAAAGGAAAACAAAAGTACCTAATGTAGTGCTGGCGCTATAGATGATATTTTGTGCAAGCTCTGGTTCTATCATATTTCTCTGTAATTTCCAAATTTAGCACTTGACCAAATTGGAATGCGAATTGGGATGATTTTGGCATGATAAATGTGGTTTGCTTTTATAAGTTGCTATATAATCTTTATCCGTCTTTCTGGTAGTATTGATTCTTAAGCGTGCTAGTCTTTGATGAAATACGCAGGCAATGGTTGCATGGAAGTCTAGGCTACACAAGTGGGGCTACAAGCCAAATTTTTGCAGCGTTGAATCTAAATATGGACTTGATTCCCTTGCCTTTATATTGAGAGATCAAACAAGTGTGATTGTAGGTCCAAGTGGAGTTGGAAAGTCTAGTCTGATTAATGCTTTGAGGAACAACCACAATGCTTCGGATGCTGCAGAAGGGGAAAATTTGTTTGATCCAGTAGGTTTTATCTCTTTCTCTTCGTTCTTTTCTCTTTTTCTTTCCAATGCTGTGTTTGTGCAACCACCATGGTACTCATTTTCCCATTCTTCTTCCATGTCCTTATTACAGATTTTAGGCAGCAAGTGGTTTGAGGATCAGCTTGTTGGACAGGTTTCAACAAGAAGTGGCAGGGGGAAACATACAACTCGGAATGTCTCATTGCTTCCACTGTCTGCAGGGGGTTATCTTGCTGATACTCCTGGGTTTAACCAGCCTAGTTTAATGAAAGTAACAAAGCAATCTCTGGCACAAGCATTCCCAGAGGTTTGTGTACTTTGTGTTATACACTGCACTTGATTCATGTACTTAAGTTCCTTTTGCATCACATTCATAGCACATGTTAACTTTTATTGGTTTCTATCGGTACTGTCTCGTTTATCCTGATCAGATCCGCCAGATGCTCAGTGACAGTGAGCCTGCAAAATGCTCGTTCAATGATTGCCTGCATCTTGGTGAACCAGGGTGCATCGTTAAAGCTGATTGGGAAAGATATCCATACTATTTCCAACTTCTTGATGAGATCAGAATCAGAGAGGAATTTCAGTTGAGGACTTTTGGAACAAAAAAGGAGGGTGACGTAAGGTATGCTTGAGTTCTATATAGCACGTCATTAGTCCTGTATGCATGCTTATTGAACTAAATAGTTCATTTCTGCGGTTTAAGAAAACTGCTAGTTATGGTGTAAAGTGAGAAATGATATGCTGCACAGAAACATAGTGGTTGGGTGATGGCTGCTATCGTTTCACCATCTTTATGGCTTCAATCACTTGGAAATCCTTTCTTTACATGTTAAAAAATTGTAAAATTTTATTTATTATTCATACTGATATGCAAAGAAAGAATAATTGTTATCATCATTTTCTGGCTGCTTAACTTCGCCCTGGTATTCATCATTGTGCTATTTCAGATATAATCTCTGCCATTTCAGATATAATCTCTGCCATAACCACTTGTTGAATGGACAGCTTGTGCTCTTTCAGACATAATCATTTTGGTAGTTCAATGATTATGTCTGAAAGAGCGCACTGATGAATACTTGTTGAATGGACAGCTTGTTGGACAGGTTTCAACAGCTGAATGGTGCTATTTCAGCAAATGGTATTCATCATTGTGCTACTTCGCCCTGGATTCCTTTTAGTTTTCACTTTCGATGAGGACCCAAAATGTAGTTCAGTTGTATCTCTAGCATATAGTTTGCATACCTTACACATTCCGTTTTAATCTCATTACTAACACAAATGTAGTTCAGTTGTATCTCTAGCACATAGTTTTAGTACCTGACATATTTTGTTTGTTATGTTATTGAACCTAAATGTGTCATAATCTTTGCAGGTACAAGATGGGAGATAAGGGAGTTCAGCAAGCAGAACCACGGTTGGAGCTCAAGAAGCATAGGAGAGTATCTCGCAAGAGTATGAACCAATCACTACTCGATGAATTAGATGAGCTGGATGATGACGACAACTTACTAGATGAGGAAAACAATCCCTTTTTAAAGGCAATGAGGGATGAAAACAAGTAGGAAGTTGCTTCATATACGTTGTAAATAGTTAAGTTTGAACCTCGATCTCATTGCAGAAGGTAGACTGACCGACCTCGGCTGTACAGATAACAGCGTGAAAGTAATCGGATGACTGGAGTCTATTGTAGTGAAACATGCAAGCAGAGTTTGCTAGTTTTAGCCAATCCAATGCCAGAGATCTCCACACTTAATAATGCTTAAATGTTTGATTCAGTAATTTCTTAATTCTAGTTCCTTGGCTTTCAAGCTTTTTACTCTCCCCCGCATGTTTTGCAGAGTTTTATAACAGTGATCAGATTACTTCTGTAAATTATTTTGCATCTATTAACTGTCAAAGGCAAAGCAAACGGCTTCCTATTTCTGAATCAGAAAAGCCTAACAACTAAAACAAGACCGCATAAAACACAAAGCTGCAGATACCAAGAACATCTCTTCTAGTTCTAGTCATTCATTGTATAAAGTGCTGAAAATATAAGTCTTACAATGTAAATGTCTCGTTCAAATTTTAGCACAGGTATTTGGTTGTCACAAAAGACAGACTGAAACCTATCAAATGCTACTCCACTGCTGTGATCAGTCAAAAGTGACAAACTTCTTACTTCTTGGAGGCTTTCTTCTTTGAACTTACAGGCTGCTGTGGCTGCGGCTTGGGATACTTCTCAGCTTCGCTCGGGTCCAACCACTTGAGCGGGTTGCGATTGAAGAAAGGCCAGTTGGGGACAGTGACCAATGTGGTGAGAACCACACCACCAGCATATGTGAGAACCATCATCTGGAACGACCCAGTTATGTAACCAGTGAGGAAACCCACCACCGCGAACACCAACAGCAGTATCTGCATCAACTGCTCAGCTAGCTTTTGGCCTTGCCAATCCATCTGAAAATTTACAAACAAAACTTAATGAAACAAAGTAATCTTCCTCAGGCAAACAAACAAGGCCCTGCTTTTTTTATAAGGATTCATTCATAATGTAATTTAATCTAAATCCCTATTTCGACAACTATATGGCATGTAGATGACGCAAAAGCAGCTAAAGACCAAACAAATTAATTAAAACAAAATAAAGCAAATTCGCAACGTTTGAAACAAACCATAGAAACGATACCTTGTAATGAACTCTGAGGAGAACCCCTTGCTTTGCAAACTGTAAAACGAAAAGAAAAGAGGAAAACAATTATAAGAAAGCAAAAACAAAGAGAAAAATACAAAAAATTCAATGCCATTCAGTCGAGTCGAGACTCGTATAAGAAAACCAATGAGATCTAATAAATCATGGAAATAATTTGAATGATAAGCAATACGAAATCCTTCGGGTGCCGATGAACAAAACCGAACCAAATTCAAGTAAAGCGATGGCAGAATTGAAAAGGAAAAATATGGAGCAGCCGAAATTCGAACAAGTTTGGATCCAAAACCCTAGACCTGGGCTACACTCAAGTTTCCCTGCAACTAAACGATTGAAATTCCACGAGAGAAAGAGAAGGAGAGAGTAGCGTACCTGCGAACAGACCAACTAACGAAAGCACGGGAGTGATAAACTGAGAGAGAGTGAGAATTTGTGCATCTATAGGGGAAAAATTAGACCAATAAAAAAAATTTAAACGCACCTTCGGTCTATGAATGAAATCATAATCGTTGATTTTGCATCTAACGGTCAATAAGCTCAGCGCATACGTGGATTCGTGTGGTGCTTTGATAAATTTTGGGTCCTATTCAGTTCTGGGTTGCCAGCCCAATTAAATTCTCCCGCTAAGCCTGCGGTTTCAACCCAAGAATAATCCCCTTGGACTACCATCGAATACTAACCCACTTTACAAGTTTGGCTGGGCGGACTCCGCCTTCTGATGAAATAATTTTCACAACGCATATGTCATAATCGAAAATATTCATTTTCCATTACTAAAAAAATATTAAATTAGAGATTGTTTAGTCATCTAAATATATCGGACAATTCAACAATTTTAGTAACAATTAACACAAGTGTTCATTTAATTGATACGACAACCGATCTTTAATTTCATTGATTTTTTTTTCTTCTAAAGATGATCTCTGAATGGCGATTGATAGACTGAAAATGTTGGATTATGACATGGAATAATACTACTTATATCGCATTTGTATATCATATTTACATACCATCTTATATGGCAGATAAAGTGGACAATTACATCAATTAAATTAATTCAATATTTTCTTTTCTTTTATGATTTGTTAATTAAACTGAAAGCTTTGTTATGAAAAGATTGACATTCTAGATGGGAAATCTATTAGGCACTCAAAAACAAGAGAACACTGTCGAGCCTCTATTCCATATTAACAAATAAGGTTTTAGCTGTAGGGCACAGCTTCACAACGGGATATTACAAACCAAATCAAGGAATAGAAACAGGCGGTTTCCGATTTCAGACTGGGAATTTGCTTGACATAATGAAATAGAATCGCACCACAACAATCGGCACACAAGAATATATAAAAGGCTCATGATATTGATGGGGTCTAATTATGATAAACATCGACTTTCAAGCATATTCTCCAACAAAACATAACATAATCTGAAACTAAAACACTGAGTTCCAAAAATTGTCTACACAACATCTCAATATATAAAAAGCAACAAAAAACCATATCAATGCAAACGATGAATCGATAATGCCTCTTCGATTTCTTGTGACACTTTAAGAGGAAGCACCGCTTCGAAGAGCTTGAGACTTCTTAGATTTGCTAGTTGCCAACTGGCTCTCAGGCTGCAATGAAGACACAGTATCAGAGAAGAGGCAGGGCAAATCAAATTAATCAGTCACTAGCTTCCCAAGTTTTCAACATGATACTCTAGATGTATCATCATCAAATTACCTCTTTCTTGACAGGCTCTTCCTTCTCAGCCAAAATCAGCTCAATATGGCAGGGGGATGACATATAGGCTGCAAAAGGTTTATAGCAACATAAATCAATACAAAAAGAACAACTCTCAATAATAAAAGAAGGCCAAACTCTGGAACATACGGTTGATTCTTCCGTGAGCCCTGTAGGTTCTGCGCCTTTGCTTCTGTGCTTGGTTGACTTGGATGTGAGATACGATTAGCGAATCAACATCCAAACCCTTCACCTGAAAGATTGTCCAGCAATTATTAGTCTTCAGAACAAATAAAGACAACAGCAACAAAGTCAAAAGCCAGATGGAAACATACTTCAGCATTGCTCTCAGCATTCTTAAGCAAATCTAATATGAACTTGGCAGATTTGACAGGCCAGCGTCCCTGTCCATTGGAATGCCTGTTCTTTGCCTGAGCAGTACGCCCAACACCACGACAGAAACGGCGGAAGGGAATGGCCTGCTTGTGGACCAGAACATCCTCCAAATACCTCTTTGCCTTGACTAGGGGCAACTTTCTGATAGCAAAGGCAGTTTCCCTCGTGTTCTGTGAAAAATAAAAACACAAGTTCAGACTTAAATGAGTACTTGACAGAGAATGTGCAACTATAACGATGCATATTTTAATAGATTGGCAGGAGGTGACTGACAGATAATTCTACACCACAAGAACTTTTGACAAGGAAGCCAAATCAAGGTATTACCAACCATGATGCAAAGTCAATAACAATATAAACGATCACACTCCATCAGGTTTTGAATTTTTTATATATATAGACACTTGCCAATGTTCCATTATTTACTGAACCTTCAGTCACATGCAACATATGCAAGTACAGAGGCTCACCCAAAAACAATGCAGTTTATATTCCTGAAATATACGGGAGCCTAGTTCACATAAGGCAACTAAACCCTGCTTTTATAATCAGGTTTCTAAAAATTAATAATATTTATATGTATGTGCAAATGTGCCATCATTTACTGAACCTTAAGTCACATGCAACTGATGCACGTACAAAGGTTCACCCAAAAACAATGCAGTTAATGTCCCTGAAGTTTACGGGGGCTCAGTTCACATAAGGCAACTAAGCCCTGCTTTTATAATCAGGTTTCAAAAAACTAATAATATTTCATATGCGCAAATGTTCCATCATTTACTGAACCTTGAGTCACATGCAACTGATGCAAGTACAAAGGTTCACCCAAAAACAATGTAAGTGATCTACCTGAAGTTTACGAGAGCCCAGTTCACATATGGGAGCAAAGGCCTGCTTTTTTTCATCAGGACTCAAAAAACTAAATACATGCAATTGTGTGCATTGAACTATGAGTTGGGACAAAATTTGGGAGAAGAAAAATCAATGGATTCAGAACATTTTATAATCACTATCTGATGCTAACAATCTAAATAACTTCTAAATTTCGGTATGAATTATTACCAAGTTATGCAACAGATTACCACCATAACTCAACTTAAAACTTAACTCACAGCAGAAGAGCAAAATAATTCCCTTGTTTACATAATGTTCTCAATTAGAATCCTAATTGTGAAACTAGGAAACCAAACAACAGACCACCAAAATTGAACCGGACAAAAAATAATTGCAATACATTAAAAACTCATTTCTAGAACAAATAACACAAAACTAGTAATTCAAAATGTTACATTATTGTGACGTCAACCCATTCACAAAGAAACCATGCTTTTTTTAAAATCAGATTTCACAATGAAACCAAATTTTAATCCATCATTTCACAGTAAATCATCACATAGTTAACGTAAAAGCAGCAAAGCACAAACAAGCCGGCTTAACCAAAACAATCTAAATCCGAAACATCAGACACTGTGGCAAGCAAAACATAATAACAATACCTTGAAATGAACTCTGAGGTCAGAACCCCTTGCTTTGCAGGCTGTAACAAACGAAACAAAAATACAAGCCACTATTAGATCAAAACGACTTTCCCAGAGAACCCAAATGAAATACAAAATCAAAGCCATTCAGCTCAGATTCGCATAAAAGATAAACGACGAGATCTAGAACCGTGAAAAGCGATAAGAGCACATACACTTGGTGATATTGTCGGGCTCCCTGGAGTACTTCACCTGAAACAAAAGATGAAGGTTAAATGCATTTGAAGCGGTAGAGATTCAGAAGCTAAACAAGCTTTCGCAAACGAGGATGAGAGAGAAAGAAGATTCAAGTGAAGGAGGCGAATAGGTACCATGGCGGCTGATGCTGCTTCTGCCTCAGTGAAGGGATTTTCGTTTGCTATTTAGCAGAAGAGGCGAGTTCGTTTGGGACTTGTGCTTTTATAAACAAAAAGCAAAATGAAACCCTAGGTAAATCCCAGACCTAATGCTCATGGACCCTCTCACTTGGGCTGGGCTGTAATAGTTTATTTTGCACTGGGCTCATATCATAAACGACGTCGTTTTCCTTCAAGTGGGCTCTTATTAACAATTCGCTGGATACGGGTACGGCCTGTCCTCAATTCAAAAAGGTAAAGGGCTAAATTGAAAACTAAATCGAACCTCATAAAATATGAAATGAAAAAAAAAACATAAACTAGCACAATATTCCAAGCCAAGAACTGATCCTATGAGTCATTTTATAGTGAGGGTCTTAGATGAGGCCCTCGCTATAGAAAGATAATAGTAAAACGGTCCAACTGCCTAATTGAGCTTCTACCAAAAGTCAAAACCAAACTCTTCATCGCCACGTGGAAAGTTCTCGATGAATCAATTACTAACGCTCCAAGAAAATTATGGACCCACAAACTATCGTGTGAAGATCATAAGTGGCATGTCTATAATATCACAATTTTATTCAAAGGAAAATGCTAAGGAGACCATCTTTGGAGACTAACTTATGTACCATCTATCTAATATAGGTGGAACCCACCAATACAATAGGTCCCACCTTTATTAGAAAGATAGTACACAAATTGGTCTCTAAACATGGTTTCCTTAGCATGATCCTTATTTAAATTATAAGATGCGCGAAATCTTAAACACAATATATTAGGTTTGTTGTTCACATATAAATGTTATTATAATATGGACAAATTCACAACATACTCTTCCAACATTAAATACTAAAGCACATGCACAAAATTTAATCGTGATATATATCACACTAGAGTTCTTTTGGCCAGTGCCATTTGAGTTATATGTTCAATTTTGAGATGTTTTGTAAGAATAACATTCGTAATTTCGACACATTTACACACCAAGTTTACTTGATTTTCAAGAGTCAACATGATTTTTTCTTCTCTAAATAATAAATTGTATGGGAAACTACTAAAGGCTTTACCGAATCAAAATAGGAGTGTATGTATCTACAATGCAAATAGATACAAAGATTTGGGTCTAATTAGAAGGACACATGCCCATATCGTGGAAAGCCCAATTAATAAGTATGTCCGAATTTGGATGGGACTCACGGGAAGGAAAAAATAATTCATTAGAGTTTTGGCAGAAAAATAACAGTAATAGTGCATCAACAGCAAAGCCCGCCATATAAATACATTGTAAATTTGGATTTTAAAAGACTATTTTTGGATAAATAAGTCTTGTGACATTCAATTAAGACTTTTAAATAATCTAAACAAGTTTTGTGGTATTCAATAAGGACTATTATGATGATATTTTAAAGAGGGTGTCCAAATCTAGTGGTATCTTTTGGTATTCAAAAACTTGCTAATTTCGACGAATTTTTTTTAATGTGGAATTTGTGTGACTTTTTAGTGGGAGGTATAAATACCAAACCCTATCTCAAATCTCACCATAACCCATCAGACTTTTCTCATGAGATTTTTTTTGTCAGAAGATGAACAGCTCTTCTGGAACAAGGTATTGCTTCCTTCTCATGCTGTCTCTTTTTGCATTTATTGTATTTGCTATACGCCATGTTTTTGTATATGGTTTGTGTCTTTGGCCCTTCGTGGGTTTGCTGCTACTGTCGGTGGTATTGCTTCGTGGGTTTATATATGATAGCTCTATGGCCCTTCACAACTATTGCTGCTTTGTGGGTATATATATGTGAACAGAATAGGTCTGCTCAACCCAGTTAGAAATAAAATAGAAAATAGGAAACATGAGTGAAATTCTTTTATTTTCTTTTCTTGTTTTGTATGATACGTATTCTTGTGAAATAACTAATAAGTTTCTTACATATGTTGTAGTAGTAATTTAAATGGGGGATTCACAATAAGGAAATAACAAAGGAAAGGGCAAAGAGAAAGAGAACTATGAATCTTGGACCATGGACGATACCAATGAGTTGTTGCACCTCTTGATGGATGCTATCAATAGTGGGTTGCGTGATGCTAATGGGTCACTTAGCAAGCAAAATGTAGAAAGAGTGATACTTCCTCGTCTTAATGCAAAAATCAGTGATGGCAATTTATGTAGTAATGCATTTGCTAAATCAGTTTCTGATTATGATGCGTGGTGAACATATTGAACGTCCATTAACTCGATGGCGAATTACTAGCAATAGATATGCCTATATACATCAAGCATTAACCGATGATCTTGCAATCTTCCGACAAGTATATAGAATGTATCCAGATGTATTCCGGAAGTTATGCACTATTCTTAGAGAAAAAACACTCTTGGAGGATACAAGATTTATTTGTGTCGAAGAAATGCTTGCAACGTTCCTACAAATCGTTGGCCAAAATACTCGATATTGTGTAATTCGTAATACATTTGGCCGATCACAATTCCCTACTAGTGAAAATTTCCACAATATTTTGAAGGCCTTGAATTCAATAGCATCTGATTTGATGGCTAAACCAGGACCAATTGTGCTTGCTAAAATAAGGGAAAGCACAAGGTTTTACCCTTATTTCAAGGTATATATGCTATCAATATTTTAATTATAATTATAATTTTCATTATTATTATATTTATTTTTAATCACATGGTTATCATTACATAAATTATTGTAGGATTGCATCAGAGCTATAGATGGTACACATATTCCGGCAATGGTGAGGGGACGCAATGTAAGCAGCTATCGTAATCGTCATGGAAAGATATCACAAAATGTATTAGCAGCTTGCAGGGGCGGACGCACGAAGGGACAAATGGGGTTAAGCGACCCCATGGAAGTCGGAAAAAATGGTTGTGGAGGTCTGAGGTGACCCCATGGATTGCTGGTTTGCGACCCTATAGCGCACACCACATGTTCGACGAAATGCCGCAGAAGCCTTGTGTTGCACCTCCACGCCGCAGCACCTCGTGTTGCACCTCCACGCAGCAGCACCTCCACACGTAAGTTACTCCCTTTGTTCTTGGTTGCTTCTGCTCAAAGAGCTTTTGGCAGTAGCACCAGGTGGAAAACCAACCACTAGAAAAGAAGATGATATCTTGAATACGCAGCATTTTGGCTTTGGACTCCCTTTAGTGAAACTATGCGTTTAGTTTCACTAATGTCTAATGGCTGTTACTTTTTTTCCTTTTTCCTTTTTTATTTATTTATATAACACACTTTTATTTATTATCAAGGTTTGGTTTCAAGATGGGCCTACTATTTTTGGTTTCAAGAGTGAAATAATAAAACACTTTTAACCCATATCCAAATGTAATGTAACATAAGACTATCCGTTTTAATTAAGAACAACTAAAAAACCCGATTAGGATACATTAAATAAATTGTATACATCAAATAAATATATACAACCTCTAAATATGGTCAAAAAAATTTTGAAAATTTTACACTATGACCCCATGAGTCGACAATTCTGGATCCGCCACTGCAAGTAGGTGTTGAGTTTTATCACAAAAGACATTCGTGCTATTAGTAGTGGAACCACTTATTATATGTTGTTTTTTATTAGTCAAGTTTCCAATGTTGGACTTTTATATTCTTCCATGCACTCCCTTATGTGGAACCACCAGACCCATGGAGCTAAGTCCACATCGAAGTCAATCAATCAAGCCTAACACGTGAACACCAAGTATTGAGTAAAGGGTAAAGGTATATATATATATATTTTAATTTACATTTCATACTAATTTTATATGTATTGTATATATAATTAGGTAAATATTTCTTAGTGGATTGTGGATTGTGGATTTCCTAATCGAAGCCAATTTTTAGCTCCATTTCGAGGTGTGCGATATCATCTCCAAGATTTTGCATGTCATGGTAATGACCCTCAAAATGAAAATGAATTGTTCAATCTTTGCCATGCGTCCTTGAGGAATGTGATCGAGAGGATATCTGGCATTTTTAAATCGCAGTTCACAATTTTTAAGTCAGCGCCTCCCTTTCCATTTAAGGCACAAGCAGAGCTTGTGTTAGCATGTGTAGCACTACATAACTTTCTTCGCAAAGAGCATCGTTATGATGAATTTCCAATTGAACCAATAGACGAATCTTCATCTTCAGTATTACCAGTTAATGAAGAAGATAATTTTGAACCTATTGTTCAAACCCAAGAGCAGCAACGAGAAGATGTTAATGCATGGAGGGCTAGCATAGCTTTAGATATATGGAGAAATGCCCGTTTATTTGCACTGTGCAGAGACTACTCAATTCAAGTTTGAGACTTTGGGGATACCTATAATAATAATAATCTCACGAAGATCATGAATTTTCAACCTTCCATGGATCCGAATGTTATTGGTGGTGGCAACATGACGAGTGATGAACGATGGTTGGTGGAGTCAATGGGTGATCTTTTGCTTGTGGGGCAGGAACAGTTCGTGAATGATTCCAAAGGAGCAGTGGAATTTTATATCTACAAGTTAAACATTGCTGCCAAAACGTGGGAGAAGGTGGAATATTTGCGTGATTGTGCTTTATTTTTGGCCAGAAATCAACTGGCAATGTCATTATCCACCCAAGAATTGCCAGGATTAAAAGAAAACTCGATTTATGAGGGGAAGCTGCAAAAGGGTTGTGATGATAATTTTGATATTCATGTCGGAGTATACAACCTAGAAACTATACTTGTTGAACCATATTATACAACTCCAGTGCCTGAGAACCTAGTTTTTCACCACCCGTTTGGATTGTGCCTAGTCCTTTCGGCCCAATAAGAGAAAAGATTGTGCTTAGTGCTTGGTTATGTTAGTCTCAAACTGTTTTTGTTTGTGTTTAATATGTAATAGGTAGGCTTATAAATAGGTTGAGCACTTTGTGCAAGTTATGTTATATAACTTACATCTCTGGGAGACATGCTCTCATAGCCTTGGGCTTCTAATTAATGTGGAAGGCCAGACGGTCTAGCGATGGTGGTTCGGCAGGCTGCGGAACAATAGTAAGGCTGGTGGTGGTGATGGGATACGTTGTGCGGTGGTGACTTTCTTTTTGTTAATTTAACATTGCTTTTTATAATATTTTTATTAAACAAAATACGCAAAATACATGTCACTATTTTATTAATACGTTGTGCGGTGGTGACTTTTTTTTTTGTTTTTTTTCATCTCATAAGCTATATATGAAAAAGATTTGGGTCTTAAAAGTTTTTGAAAACCCAACAAGCATAACCCGAATGATTAGCAGGCAACAAGGACACATGCCCAATCTGGCGCAAAGTCCTATTAATACGTCCGATTTTAGACGGGCTACAAATTTTTGGAGTGGGAGGGAAGTCGGCAAAAGGAAAGAAATCTCAAATACAGGAAACTGGGGAAGGAAAAAAAAAAAAAGAGAAAAAAAAAAGTTGGCAAGCAATAGAGTTTTTATGAATTCCGCAACCTTAATTAGGAAAATTCTGTGAATTTTGTTCTCTCAATTTGTTTAGGAAGACTCTTATTTCTATTATTTTATTTCTCCTTTTATATTTTGGTGCCGATGACATAACAATGGTACAAAATTGCCCTTTTTCATCCCAGCGCAGGATCTACTATATATATATATATATGTAAATTTCTGAAAGCCCAATCTCAGCGCTGCTTATAAATACATGTAAATAATTGGGAATCTAGCTAATCATATCCCAATAATATCCTCATCATCAATGGCTATGGCTTGTTCCACCGAAAGAAGGAGGCTAACTTATTCAAGCACAACATCAACAACAACAAAATGGACTGATGAGCTCCCACCCGAGCTGTTAGGGTTGATCGTGAAAAAGCTCACTTCGAATGTCGTCGACATCATTCGCTTTGAAGCCGTCTGTTCTTCTTGGAACCGCGCTGCAAGATTGTATACCTCTGCCCCGTATTACACCCAGTTGCCTCAATATCCATGGCTCATGCTCCTCATCCTCCGCAACCCCATCCCCGACAAATGGAGTTGGTGCCCCAAATTCCCTCGTATTGGTCATGAGAGCAGGTGCTTCTTCAGCCTTGCAGAGAATAAGGTTTACAAGATGGACTGGAAAGCGTCTCAAGACTTTCATGGCTATGGCGAGTGTTTGGGTTCATCACATGGGTGGCTGGCGATTCGGGAGTTTAAAACAATGATATTATCCCAAGAAATCGTTCATCTTTTCAATCCAATTTCTAGACAACGCTTGACGCTTCCATTGAGGCCGGGAAAGGCTTCAACTGCTAAAGTTGTGCTTTCCTCGGACCCCTCTTGCAACAACAACTTTGTCGTTGTGGTAATTTATGATATCTCCTTGGGACCGCCAGGAATAGCATTCTATCAGCACGGCAGAGGAGGAGGCAACGCTGCTGCATGGACTGACTTAGAGGGTTCACATCATCACTATTCTGATATTGTATTCCACAACAATGGCCAATTATTTGCACTGTCCACCAACCACTCAATTCAAGTTTGGGACTTCGGGGACACATATAACAATTATCCCACGAAGATCATGGATTTTTAACCTTCCATGAATCGGAATGTTTTTGACGGCCCAATGACGCACCATAAAAAATGGTTGGTGGAGTCAATGGGTGAGATTTTGTGCGGCAATGGTTGTGGTTGGGGTCTGATACCAAAGGAGCAGTAGACTTTTATGTCTGCAAGTTAAACATTGCTGCCAAAACGTGGGAAAAGGTGGAGTGTTTGCGTGGTTGTGCTTTATTTTTGGTCAGAAATCAATCGGCAATGTCATTATCCACCCGGGAATTGCCAAAATTGGAAGAAAACTCGATTTACTATGCAGAAACGTATCAGGAGGGTGATCTAAATAAGCGGAAGCTGTATGGGGGTTGGAATGAGATTCGTGTTGGAGGAGTATACAAATTCAACTTAGAAACTAAAGTTGCTAAGCCATATTATATAACTCGAGAGCATGTGGACACTAGTTATTCAAAACCCGTTTGGATTGTGCCTAGTCCCTAGTGATGTTGGCATCAACTATTTTTGTTTCTGTTTAACATGTAATAGGTAGGCTTATGATAGGATATAATTTGCTATTACTAATAAGTCTCTAGAAGTTCTAGAGTTATACATTGTATGAGTTGGGTGTCTTGTGGTATTCTTGCATCTTAATGTCAATAAATTGTCGTAGGTCCATCAGTTATAGTCCATCAGTTATAGTGTGAAGCCAAAAGCATCGAATGAATGTTATGAGAACTACCGTCAATAGTCTTTAGTTTGATCCATTTCTTTCAAACAACACTTCTGTTCCAACATCATATATATATACATACGTATATGTAACATGTTGAATTATTTTGGGTTAAAAAGGCTATAAAATTGAGCTAATGTCATAGTGGAAATAATATGTTTGGCCTAAGACCAGTGGTCGCAGGTTCGAGACCCTAAGCACCAATGTGTGTGAGTAAATTTCCTTCACCTTCCTACCTTTGATTTTAAAAAAAAGGCTATAAATAAAATTGAATACAAGCCTCAATCTCAATATGCGGTTGGAGTTTTTATACATACATACGTGTATTTCATTGTTCTTTTATATATGTGATCTTGTTTGCTTATACGATTGTTTTCTTCTACTAGTTTAGACCACTTGTTCTATATAAAGGTGAAGGTAAAAAGGGAAACGAAATAAATCTAAATTTGAGTTCAATGCAAGCAAAAATTGGTAATGAACAAATAAGTTAAAAAACCTAATACCTTTTAAAAGGCTTAGTTGTTCTGGTAAACAAAAAGCAAAGAAACCCTAGGAGCTGCTGCCCCTTTGGGGTCAGTGGCTTCCCATCCCCCCTCCCTTCTCTTCTCTTCTCTTCTCTTCTCTTCTCTTGTGCTCCTCCCTCCCTCCTTGCCCCTACTTTCCTCTTGTTTCTTTTGTTTTTTGTTTTTTTCAGACTTAGTTGTGGCTGGTTCTGATCCCGTCGCTTGTACTAAAAAAAAAAAACATTATTTCCGAAGTTGAAATTGTTTCTTGACCTAAGACTCATTTCTAAAATTATTAAGCCTTTTAGTTGATGGGTCAAATGCAAGAACCCCATTTTGAGTGGGAATGGAATCCAAAATTAAATAGCGAAACTACTAAAAGGTTCTATCCTAATCCAAACTAGGAGTTTATTTCAACAACGCAAATAAATACATGTAGAGAGCGCAATATTTTGTTGAACTCTCAACACTAGTTTAGAGCACTTTGTGGTGGTTTGTTCTATATAAAGATGAAGGTAAAAATGTGGAACAAAATAAATCCAAATTTGAGTTCAACGCAAGCAATAATTGGTAATGAACAAATAAGGACAAATAAGTTTATGAGCAAATTTGTGTTTAATGTATTTTTTGGTTGGAGTTGTTATATATATATATATCTTGAAATGGAGATTGAATTATTGAGGATTTAAGGCTATGAAATTGAATACAAGCCTCAATCTCAGTGTTGTTGTGGTTGGAGTTGTTATATATATTCACTGATGGTTTATATGTGACCTTGATTGTTTATATAATTTTTTTCTTCTACTAGTTTAAGGCCCTTTGTGGATGGACTTGTTCCCGAATATTGAAATTTATGTTGACCTAAGACTTATTTTCTAAAATTATTAAGGGCCCGTCTGGTAACGTTTTCAGAGAGTGTTTTCAGAGAATATTTTCAAAGAATGAAAACATGAAAACAAATTTGGATTTTCAGGAAATGAAAATGCGTCTGGTAGATAATTAGAAAACATCTTTAGAAAACAAAAACAATGAAAACGTGTTTGGTAGTACAATTGTTTTTCAGGTGTATTTTTGATAATTTCAGTTCTATTATTTTTTTTAATTCTGATATTTTTAGAGGCTAAAATTATTATAAACAATGAAAATATATATGGTAGTACAAATTGAGAATAATATTATGTGAATTATTTTTCAAGGGTATTTTTTCTAATTTCTGTTTTGAAAAAATATTTTTAAAAATATATAATTTAACAAATGAAAACTTCTATTGTTTTTTAAAAGATAAAACTATCTTTTATCTCCTTTCTTTTTTCTTTTTTCTCATTTTCTTTCTTTCTTCCTCTTTTCTTCTTCTTTCCTTCCCAGACCTGTTCCTTTTTCTTTCCTTCTTCCTCTTCTCTACTTTCTCTTTTCTTCTTCCTTCCCTCTTTTTCACTCACTCCTCCTTCCATGACATGAATCTCATCAACCCACCTCTCTGGTTCCACTAATTAATGGTTGTGGTGGTTAGATTAGGAGGTGAAGGTGGTTGAGCTGGGTATGTGGTGGCTGGTTTCTCTCATCTCTCCCTCTGCAACTCTCTCTCTCTCTCTCTCTCTCTCTCTCTCTCTCTCCTTTCTTCTCCCTCTTTCTGATTCTTTCTCTTCTTCCTCTCTGTCTTTTTCTTTTCTTTTCTTCTTCCTCTCTGTCTTTTTTTCTTAGTTGCGGATTTGTGTGATTATGAGTTTTTTTTTCCTTGAAATTTTGGGTCTGATTATGGCTAGAATGAGGAGATTTGATTGTTTTAGAAATAATTTGATTGGATTGTTTGCTCAAATGACGGAGGAGAGTTGGCTTTGATTCCGAGAGATTGAAAACAAAAACGACTTTCTGGCGTTTTCAACATTTATTCATACTTTCATTTTCATTCTTAGAAAACAATTTCAGCTTGTTTCTCAAAATAACCCACCGAACACATTTTCACGTGAAAACATAAAACAAAAACAGAAAATGGCCCTTAAAAATGATACCGAACGGGCCCTAAGTCTTTTAGTTGATGGGTCAATGCAAGAATCCGATTTTGAGAGAAAAAACCTAGAATCCTAAATTATATAAGGAACCTTCTAAAAGACTCTAATCCAATAGGAGTTTATCACAAGTTCACAACAACGCAATTAAATACATGTAGAGCGCAATACTCACAACAACTACTTTGTGGTCACTGGTCAGGGTACTTTATGAAAAGCTATTCAACTACTGCCTTTTACAAGCATGGAGACAAGCATAGAATGACATGGAACCGCTTAGACGTCTCATTAGAAACCATATTAGGATAGTACTTTTTTATTTTATAAAAACTCAATATTAAGATAGTCCTTAGTTTAATAAATCCAACTTGCTAAGAAAGTTTGGGGGCGATAGTAGTACTAGCTAGGATGGGTGACCTCCTAAGAAGCTCTTGTGTTGCATCTCATTCTTTTGCTAACGGGTTTTTAGTGTGAAAGTCAAGGTCGATTTTGAGATTTTGAGGGCCCTATGCGAAACTTAAACTGGAGCCCTCACATAATCTAATATTTGAAATATTAAAATATTTTTTTCGCATGACTTAATGTCATAAAACAATTTTTTATATAATTAAAATTCATTATCAATTAGAATGTAATAACAATCACAAATCAATTTCATAATTTTTTTAATGTTTTCATTTGATAAAGTTAAATATTAGTATGTTTGGTAAAAAAACAAAAAAAAAAAAGAGTTCAAGAGAAAGAAGAAGGTATGAATTTTTTTTTTGTTTTGTTTTGAGCAGAAGAAAGTTTTTTTTATATTTATTTTAGGAGAAAGCATATGGGTGTGATATATACTACGAATTTAAAATGATTTAAATTTTATTTAGTTGGATCCTTTCCCTTTGGTTTTTTTCTCACATGCTTATGTTTTTTTAAAATAATTTAATTTTTGTTGTTAAAAAAAGGTTTATTTTATTTTATTTTATAAAATAAAAAAACTAATTTAAATTTTGTTGTTATAATGAAAAAAGAATAAAAATACGAATAGAATGACATCATTGAGTCGAACCTGGGCCTTATACCAAGGAATATACCGTAGAAATCAGCTCCACTAAATACACTTTAGTTTCAATGTACTGAACGGTGGAGTATAAATACAGTTTTTATAATATTAATATATATAATATAAAGTAAAAAAAAATTTGGGGCCTAAAAAATAAGGACCCTGTGCAGTGGCGCCACTTGGACTCTGTGCAGTGCAGTGACGCCACTTGCACCATGCCAAGGCCGCCTTATTGGGTTTTAGTCATCATGGTATCCGTGTGTGTGAGTTTCTTCTCCTCTTCCTAACTTTGGGAAAAAAAAGAAGTAAAACTCAATTTTTTTATGAAATTTAGAAAGTATTTTTTAAAGCTGTTGTGACTTGTGAGAACACTAATAATTTTAAAATAAGGAGCTTTAATATACTTTACCAAACATCTTGTTCAACCAAAATGATAAAATAAGTGGTATTTTTAGAACGCGATCATAATTATAAAATGTAGTGAATCAATATTTTACTCGAGAAAAAACGTAATGAATAATTAGAAGCCGGAAACGGCAAGTCAAGGAGAGGGCATTGTTCCATCCCAGCAGGATCTATTATAAATATTGCATTTATTGCTCATGGTCCGTCAAGTCAAGGAGAGGGTTAAAACGGTAAAATGAGACTGGTGTATTTCAATTTTCTTTCAATCCCACAAAGGACACGTGGAGTAATAAAAAGTGAGAGACTCTAGCTAGCTACAATCACCTGTGGTTAATTAGCATTCCTCATTAGGAGGGGAAAAGATCTCTTTATACTCTGTATCCTAATTCAAATAGGATTTATATCATAAGCGCCACCTATAAATACATGTAAATACTTGGGAATCATATCCCAATATCATCTTCATCAGCAGCAACCGCTATGGCTTATACTTATTCCACCAAAAGGAGGAGGCTAAACTATTCAAGCACAACACCAAATAAGTGGGTTGATGAGCTCCCAACTGAGCTGTTAGGGTTGATAGTGAAAAAGCTCGCTTCTAATTTCATGGACATCAGTCGCTTCAAAGCCGTCTGTTCTTCTTGGAACGGTGCTGCAAGATCGTATACCTCCGCCCTGTTGCCTCAATATCCAGGGCTCATGTACCCCTCCACGCGATGGGGTTGGAATGGGAAGGGCATATGCTTCTTCAGCCTTGCAGAGAAGAAGGTTTACAAGACGGAAGTGTCTCAAGGCTTTCTTGGAGTCGTTTCCTTTTTGGGTTCATCACATGGGTGGCTGGTGATGGGGAACGTGGCTTGCAAATTCGGTGAAATTCGTCTTTTCAATCCAATTTCTAGAAAAAGCAGGACGCTTCCTCCCTTGCCGCGCGGGTCTCCAATCAGTAAAATTGTGCTTTCCTCGGACCCCTCTTGCAACAACAACTTTGTCGTTGTGATAATTCATGAGACCTTGAACGTACCGACAAGGCTAGCATTCTATCAGCACGGCGGAGGAGGAGAAAACGCTAATGCATGGACTGTATTAGAGGGTTCACATGATCATTATTTTGATATCCTACTCCGCAACAATGGTCATTTATTTGCACTGTCCAAAGACCACTCAATTCAAGTTTGGGACTTCGGGGACACCTATAATAATAATAATCCCACGAAGATCATGCATTTTCGACCTTCCAGGGCTCAGAATGGTATTCATGGAACCTTGATGGGGAAAAAAAAATGGTTGGTGGAGTCAATGGATGAGCTTTTGCTTGTGCAGCGGGAATGGTTGGGGAACAATAGCAGAGGAGCAGAGAAATTTGATGTCTACAAGTTAAACATTGCTGCGAAAACGTGGGAGAAGGTGGAATGTTTGCGTGATTGTGCTTTATTTTTGGCCAAAAATCAACCGGCAATGTCATTATCCACCCAGAAATTGCCAAGATTGAAAGAAAACTCGATTTACTTTGCAGATGAATATCACGAGTTTTCACATGGTGATATTATTGATATTCATGTTCGAGGAGTATTCAACTTTGAAACTAAAGTTGTTAAGCAATACTGTATAACTGGAGCGCAAAACTATGGTTATTCACCAGCCGTTTGGATTGTGCCTAGTCCTTGGTGATGTTGGTATCAATCATATTTTTGCTTCTGTTGAACATGTAAGGGGTAGGCTTATGATACAAATAATTTTTAATAATAAGTCTCTAGAAGTTGTACAGTTATGTGTCTCATGGTATTCCTATGAGTTGATTAATTAGCATCTTAATGTCAATGATTGTAGTGTGAAGCCAAAAAGCATTGAATGATGTTATGAGAACTTCCGTCAATAATCTTTAGTTTTATCCATTGCGCTTATGTTTCTAAGAGCATATATATATATATTGAAATGGAAATTGAATACAAGTCTCAACAATCTCAGTGTGTGGTTGGAGTTTTTATACATACATATAAAAACTGAAGCTCAACGCAAGCAAAAAGGGAAACGAAATAAATTCAAATTTGGGTTCAACACAAGCAAAATTTGGTAATGAAAAAATAAGTTCAAAAACCTAACAGCAACACCTTTTTTTTTTTTTTTTTTATAGTTTTTTTTTTTGGCCAAGACGCCAAGACAAAAACCTAACACCTTTAATCAACGTTATTCCCGAATATTGAAATTGTTTCTTGACCTAAGACTCATTTTCGAAAATTATTAAGCCTTTTAGTTGATGGGTCAAATGCAAGAACCCGATTTTGAGTGGGGGAATCTACTAAAATGACGCTCATCTAGAATCGAAAATTATATTAGGGAAACTAAAAGGCTCTATTCTAATCAACACTAGTTTATCTCAACAACGCAAATAAATACATGTAGAGAGCGCAAATAAATACATGTCCGAAACAACAATAATGGCTAAGACAGCATCTCAATTGCTCCATCGTTGCACAAATTAGTCATCTGATCTCCAATCTGAGTTGTTAGAGCTGATGTTCGAAAAGCTTGCTTCAATTAATTTTGTTGACGTTCTTCTCTTTAGAGCTGTTTGTTTGTCTTGGAACAAGGCCATAAAATCTTACATCTCTGTTGCTGCTAAAAATAACACAACAACGTTTCCTCAAGCTCCATGGCTGGCGATCCCTATAGATGAAAAATACGATGGGATGATACTTTGCGCTTCTTTAGCCTTGCGGAGAACAAGGTTTACAAGCTCAAGAACGTTGCATTTAGAGGCTCTCCGTTCGAAGGCTTTCACTACGGAACAATTTGTGTGGGATCGTCGCACGGGTGCCTGGTGATTTGGAAGGAGGATGATGGCATGATGCATCTTCTCAATCCGATTTATGGATCCAGAATTCAACTTCCATATTACAAAACCCAAGTAGTTAAAGCTGTTGTTTCTTGCGACCCGTGTCGCAGCGACAGCTTTGTGGTTGTGGTACTTTACGGAAAGCTGTTTAACTACAGAAGATTATCATTTTGCAAGAGTGGAGACAAGCATGGAATGAGATGGAATGGCCTAAATGGCGGGGATTATGACGGCAGCTATAGTGACATTATATTCAACAATGGTCCTTTATTTGCATTGTCCATGAGAAGGAACTCAATTGAAGTCTGGGACATAAGGGGGGAAGCTCATAACCCCATGATAACTATGAGTATATTTCTTTTTTTGGGTCGGAAGTAGATTTCATTAGAAACCCCAAAAAAAGCACAACAATACAACATAAAAATGAAACCCAACCAACTGAGCTCAGCAACAAAGCAAAAAGGCAAGAGGCCCAAATAAAATGCAAAATAAACAACAACAAGCTTAAGGCCCAAAAGGCATTAAGCCCACACAAGCCCAAACCAAGGCCAAGATAGCAAACAAACGCTAAACAAAACTCAGCCTAGCCGCCGTTGCCAATGCCTGAGATGACATCACCGGGACAAGTTGAGGGGATGAGCTGCCACACCCAAGGGGCATAAAAAGAAAAAAAGCACAACCCATAGATCCATCCAAATACCTTAAAATCACACATATTACATATAAGCAAAAGGAAGCCAACCACATGAAGATCATCACCTTCCAAATCAAAACTGACAAATCACCATAACAAACACAAAAACCAAACAAAGATCAACATAGTAGAAGGAGGTGGTGCAAGCACCCGAGCAAGAGCAAAAGCTAGAACTCTACACATCTTCAGAGTTGTACGCGAAAAAAATGCATTTTTAGCTAGTCGAAGCTGCCACAAGTTGAAGCCAGATCAATAAAGAGGAGAAAATTTTCGTGGGAATGGACAATACCAAGACTGTAGAGAAGGGATTTGAATGGAGTGGAGGAATAAGAGGAAAGGGGTGGATTTTTATTTTTGCCTTTTCCGTATGCAGTTTGAGCACATCGTGAAAGAATTAGATTACAAAATGTATGAATGAATATTGAGATATTTAGTCATATACCCATTCTTAACACTAAAACTATAAATAAACCCTACACCATTTAATTTTTATAAACAAACCCAAAAAATGATAGCTTGTCTTATTGAATTTAATTTTGATTATTAAATTACTTTGATGCCCTATTGAGTGTTTTGGGCTTTTTTATGAGGTTTTGGAGTTTGGTTTGTTTTAAGAAATCAATGGCAGTTTTGTAATTTAAAAGAAGTTAAAATCCTTTTTGTTATGTTGTAATGAGTTTTGGGTGTGTTTTTAAAGTCCATTTCATATAGGGGTTTTTTTAAAAAAAAAATTTGGGCTCCTATATTGGGTATAATAGTGAATCTCCCATAAATATTTAAGGATTTAAAATTGATTAATACAAAGAATCCAACTCCCGTTAATCCACAATGTGATTGACATTGAGATTGTCGGGACTTCTTGTATTGTTATACCATGAAAATCATGAATTTTCAACGATTGTTTTGTCTTGTTTGATGGAGTCAATGGGTGAGCTTTGTTTGTGGAAGATGTTATGACCTATCCCCAGCCAGATAAAAATTACAATTAAAAGAAGGGTAATCTGCTGATTTGCCCCCTGAACTTGTACATAATTCTCAATTTAGCCCCTGACCTTTTTTTTAGCAAATTAAGGGCTCGAATTAAATTTTATTATCAATGTTCCCCCACCGTCAAAATTCGAACATTTCATCCATTAATCCGTCCATTTGACTCACGTTGACTCTTTTTTAGGGTTATTTTGGTCGTAGATTGAATTACACATATAAAAAGGGGGG